TATAAGTATTTTCTGAATGTATTAAATATAAAAATGATCTGGACAAAATTTACATTTTCTCTGAAATGGACCATTTTATTAGCCTTCGCAATCTAGACCTGGTTTTCAAGCTACCTCAACCTATGCAACTAGACCGGTCGCGAGTCAGCCCTTTGCACTAGGTCAAGCGCCTCCTTATGCGTCTACAGCAGTATGTTATTTGTAGCTTTTTAGTTTATGGCAATTGTATTTTTTTTATTTTTATTTTTTCTAATGTATTGTGTACAATTAGGTACGGGTTTGGACAGAGCATACTGCCCCAGATGGACGCACATATTATTATAACACTGTCACCAAACAAAGCAGTTGGGACAAACCCGAAGAACTGAAAACTCCCGAAGAGGTATTTTCTAGCTTACTTGAAATCTTATAATGCGTCGATGGATCAGATAGCTTAGCATAATTCCAATTTTGTTTTTACAGCGAGCTTTAGGCTCTTGTCATTGGAAGGAGTTCACCGCAGATGGTGGCCGCAAGTATTTTTATAACTCTATTACTAAAGAATCTAAATGGGAAATGCCTGCTGAATACAAAGGTCAGTCTAACATTAACTAAATAATTCACAGATAAAAAATTTTTAACACATTAATTTGCATTATGCAGAATTTCTCGATAAGCTGGAGATGGAAAAGAAACTACAACAGTAAGGATCTATTAATTACAAATGATACAAGCGATACGTAATATTCAAATAATAACGGTTTAATTCTAATTTTAGGAACAGCGAATCATCGCCTCAAACTAATGGAAATGTAGTTTCACCTAATCAACAAGATTTTGAGCGGGCTCGTCAATTGAGCACACCGGCAGTCAGTCCAATTAATACAACTCCAATAAATGTTTCTACTAGACCGCTAGGACTAGCCGGATCCCATATACCAATTGTTTCTATTCAGCAATCTGAGCCAGTAAAGGTCGAATTCGATACCAAAGAAGAAGCTGAAGCTGCATTCCGCGAAATGCTTAAAAAATCTGTAAGTTATAAATCATATAAAACCTGGATTAAATTACTCCATAAATTGTTTCTTAATGCTTTTACTACACAGGGAGTCAAGTCTGACTGGTCTTGGGAACAAACTATGAGAGCAACCATTTCAAACCCAATGTACCGTGCACTCAAGACCTTGAACGAACGTAAACAAGCGTTTGAAAGATATGTAGATGACCTTATTAAGAAAGAAGAGGTAAAATTTTACATTAACAAATATTTTGTATTCATTCATTTTCTTAACCTTAATTGCTTCTTATTCAATGACAGGAGGAAAAGAAAGCAAAAGTTGTTAAAATTCGACAAGATTTTATCTCATCGCTAAACTCTCATCCTGATATCAATTCATCGACACGTTACAGGTATTTTCTTTAATATACTAATTAATAGTATATTTCTGATATATAACATCGATTTGTAATGATAAATTTAGAAAAGTATGTGATCTTCTTGGTGAAGAGTCTGCATTTTTAGCGATAGAAGATGACAGAACACGTGAAGAAATTTTCAGTGAATATGTATATGACTTGCGAAAACAAGAAAAGGTAGGTTTGATATTTCTATATATTTTTGTATTGGTGAAATTTATGAGCTTTGCTAAAACATTGCCATTTATATGCAGGAAATTCAACGAGCTGTTCGTAAAGAGAATAAGGAGAAATTTAGTCAACTTTTGCGGTCTCTTCCAAGCATCACTGAGGCCACTCGATGGGTTGAAGCACAAACCATATACATGAATACTCCCGAATATCAACAAGACAAATCTCTTCAAGATATGGATATGTTGGATTTCCTGGCCGTCTACGAGGAGCACGTCAGAAACTTAGAGCGGGAGACAACAGAGAAGAAAAAACGGGAGGTTGAATTACAAGCGAGACAACAACGCAAAAATCGGGATGCCTACAGAGCTTTTATGGAAGAATTGCGCCAAAAGAATGTGATAACCGCTAAATCCAAATGGAAAGAAATATATCCACTTATTCATACGGATGAAAGATATCAAAATATACTCGGACAACCAGGTTCCAATCCTCTCGAGTTATTCTGGGATGTCGTCGAAGAGCTTGATGAGATTTTGTATTCACATCGTAAAATTGTGAATGAAATTATGAAAGTATGTAAAATTTGATATATATATATATATATTAATGGAAGTATTATAAAATCTAAAAATGACGCTTAATATTTATCATTTTTAGTCAAAAGATATCTCAATGTCTTCCGGATTCACATTTGAGGAATTTCAAGAAATTCTCAGTTCAGATGAACGCATTTCTTCAATTAATGAGGCTAATCTCAAAATAATTTTTGATCAGGTAATCTATATAAATACATATAAACGTGTATTATCATTGACTATATAGCCAATAAAACGATAATAATGTGAATGTTAATTATATAATAGCTACAACGAAGACAAGAAAAGAAACAACGTCGAAAATTAGATGCGTTTAAATCAATTCTCAAACACTTGGAAACAACATTTACACCTGAAACTACTTGGGAACAGGTGTGAATTATTTTAAACTTATGAATTAAAATAATTGGTTTAAGTCAATTACTTCTTGATATCGAATAATATATATGTTGTAGGTGCGACCAATTATAGAGAAAACCGATGAATTTCAAGCAGTTGGCTCAGAAGAACAACGAATAGAAATTTTCACTAAATTTATGGAAAGAGTTAAGGTAAGAGTATATAAATGTCTCTCGTAATTCAACGTTCATGGGAGATCTATTTTAAATTGCCAAAATTTGGTTTACTAGGAAAAGCGTATAGAAAAAAGCGGTGAAGACAGTGAAGAGGAAGAAGGAACGATTAAAGACGAAGATTTAGACGAAGATCGACATGTATCGTCAGATCGTAAGAAAAAGCATAAAAGTCACCGATCATATCATCATCGTCGGACTCATCATTCTGACTATTCGGCTGATAGTGCTGAACTTTCCGACAAAGAGAAAGATGGTGGTGATAAAAGGAAACGACGAAAGGTATCATAGAATACAGTTATTAATTATATTTCGCTATAATGTAAATATTCATATTTAAATCATAGCATGTATTGTTTTTTAGACAAAACTCAAATATGAGTCAAGACATATAGAACCAAGATATCAAGAGTACAGCAAATTAACTGATCCAAAACATGGTGATTATAAATCTCTGTCTCCAAAATCAGAGCTTATCAAACAAACATCCCCGAAGCCAGAAGAATCAGTTAAATTTCAATCGCCTATTCGAGATTTTCCTCAACGAGAGGTTAGCAAACATGCAGATTCAAGCGCGGAAGAAGGCGAGTATGTAGAACAATAAAATAAAATTACCGTCTTTTATCAACATTTACTTCACTATTGTCAGTGTTATATTTTAGCTATGTGCAAATTCATGAATACAATGAAGAATATGGCTTTGGGAATGTGGATCCACGAAAGTAAAAGGTGAGATCTAGAATAATGTGATTGACTATCCTGAAATGTGATAAATAAAGTGTCAAAAAATTTCGTTGAGTAATTGTCACAGCAATCAAGTTTCGTCCGGTTCATTATCGAGAAATTTACAGTTGATTTTTTAATAAAAGCAGGTAAGTGATTTCGAGAAAAAAAAAACAACTTGCGCCATAGCCTTTATAAATGGAATATTTGGTCAATTAGCCAGTAATTTATCTAGTATCGGATTATGTCTTTTGCCATCTCTTTGTCCATTGCATACAGCTTAAAAAAAAAATTATGAAATAATTAAGTGTAAAGTGATATTGAAATTTATTTGTATAAATGTTTTATTATATGTCACGTGGTTCAAGTGACAAATGATAGTTTAGCCACTAATTGGTAAGATGCAGAAATATTTTATAGTGGTTTGTTTTGTAAAGAACCCAACACTATGCCCACCTCTGTGTGACACCACACTAGCCTTTGACCCTATGCATAAAATTCACATATCGATATATATGCTATATATTGGCAGTTATAAACATGTTTCTTTGCAGGGGTTATACGTAAAACATTGCACGCATTTATTGGTCAAACAAGTTGACGTACATCTAAAGCTTCAAACTTTATTCGAAACGTTAAATATACAAATACGTATATTGTATATATAGTTTTTTTATAGTTTTTGCAAAATTAAAACACGGTACATATCACAGTATAATTTTGATACAGCGAACCTAACACATAATATAGTAAAATTTATCTTCAGCCTTTATGTTTAATTAGTCTTGATATTCAGTCTACCCTCGTTAATATCAACCTAAGCTATAAGATAAATTTTTATATTAAAATTCCCTCATATATCAACTTTATCCCTCGTTAATATCACTATCAACATGAATTTAAACAAATTCGAGTATTGCTAAATCTCACCTCAGGTGATTATCACCGCAACGCTATATCTCAAAAATGTACTAAGTAATTTGGGTTAGGGGTTCTAAGTAAAAATGTTCAGAACCCCAGAAAACTTTAATCTTAACCTAACTAAAATCTAAACTGATATACCTAGATACCTAACTCTAACCTTAACCTATAGCGTCACCCTAACTCTAAATTTTAGCAAAAAATTATTGCGGTGATGATCACCTGCGTGAGATTTAGCGATGTTCAAGGTTACAGTATATATATATATATATAGTATATATATACTGTATATTTATTGTGAAATCTTACTGTACGTATCAAAAATAGTAGTTTAAAAATTTTAGTCTGTAGTATTTATAACCTTTTTAATTTATCCGCGTAGAAGTTTATTTCACAGACACAGACAAACAATTTCATGGAGGCGATCCCAATAATTTTATTAAACTTAAAATTTCAAATTACAAAAAAAGCACTTTTGTGAATATTATAATTATATGTGCATTGTTTTATTTTTTATTTTTACATTATTGAAAAAATGCATATTTGCTAGCTAGTAAACAAATCAAATTTTTTTAATAATAAATGGTTATAAATGATTTTCTGATTTCTTTCCTGCTAATTATTTGATGTTTGCTATCTTGATACTAGCGTTGTGAAATAATATTGTAACGAGTTTTTCTTCATTATCTATTTCTAACTCGACATCCTCAAGATCAGTTTTTTGGAATGTAGTCATGGAAATAGAATCTGCAAAGTTAATTTTAAATACGTCGCGTTCCTCATCATAAGTGGGATTAAGTGTAAAGAATGGCTCGTCAATATTTACCCCTCGAATATGTTTTGGTGAATTTATACGAATTGACATTATCTTGTAAGTTTTTTCATCGTAAAATACGAGAAGGTAATCAGTTGCATGCTCGGCATAATCATTGGGTTCATCTGTAAAATCTACTATAAGCGCTCTTGTATCATCAAAGTATATGAAACTCGCAACGGGTCTTAAATAAATACAACGTTAAAAAAAATGAAAAGCTCCATATTTATTACAAAATTCGAATAACAAATATTGCAAACCTGTCTTTATCGAAGTAATATTTTGTCAAGGGTTCTTGTTTATCATGTTCTGTCATGATTTTTTTATCACGTTTTGTCAAAACCTCTTGTTTATCATGTTCTGTCATTGTCAAGGCTTCTTGTTTATCGTGCTAAATATTCATGACAAGATGTGGAATAAAAAATAAGGATATAAAAAATAAATCAAATCTTTCAAACTTAAGCAAAATTTCGTACCTTCTTTTTATGTTTAATTTTTTTGAATAATTTTCTATATTACAGGTTGGTTAATATTTATAATTCAGAAATAACAAAAAAGTTCAAGAAAGCTACAGTAGCTTACTTAAATGGATTCATAGACATTCTTATTCAGTACCGACGCGCTAGGGTGTTCAAAATACTAGTAAATCAAACATTAATATGATAAATTTTTTATGAAAATCCGAATTTACTGCGGATAATACCAACTTTCATCTCTTGAACTAGTATAATAATTAATGTAATTTTTTTTTTAAAAGATAGAGCAAATCGTGTACTTTAATGTAACAGAGCCATTTTTTCGATTAAAATTATTTATACTATAAAATGGCGTAAATCGAAAAAAATGGTTCTGTTACATTAAAGTATACGATTTGCTCTATCTTTTAAAAAAAAATTAGACATTAATTATTATACTAGTTCAAGAGAAAAGCGTACTGAAAGTTGATATTATCCGCAGTAAATTCGGATTTTCATAAAAAATTTATCATATTAATGTTTGATTTACTAGTATTTTGAACACCCTACCGACGCGCTGACGCACTATAGAAAGTTATTATAGTCCAAGGCGTCCTTTCTACAGCTACGATCACACGAAAAACTTTATTGTTAGGAAATAACCGTTGAATGATGATTCGATCGGGTTCGTCACTTGTGCAACGTTGAGTGTAGTTATCACGGTTTAAATAGGCAAGTACTACTCCAACAAATTTTGGTTTAAAACGTCTGCTGGTATATGTATTTAATTTTGCTTCTCTTCCCCAATTAAATTGTAAGAATGAATCTTCAAGCACAAACGACCACGCCCTGTAATCCATGAAGTTCACATCATGAAAAATCTGTTTAACGGATATGAGTTAATTTGATTGACTACCCCTCCTATATGCACATCGACCGTGACACTGATTTCGAAAACGTATACGTAGAAACCAGGCAGATTGACATTTATAAAAAATCTATACCTCAACTTTCACAGCTCATATCTCGATGAATTTGGAAGCTAGTTTGATGATTTAATATTCAAAAGAAAGATTAAGTTCTAAGCTTTCTTTTGAATACTGAATCATCAAAATAGCATCAAAATTCATCGATATATAAGTTATGAAAGTTGAGGTATAGATTTTTTTTAAAATGTCAATCTGCCTGATTTCTATTGACGGCAGCCCATATGAATTTGGCCGAATTGGCCGGCCAAAAATATAGTTGGCCGGTTAAATTGCCAACACTGTTAATATCAACCCATTTGAATTGGTTTTAAATCATGTTGATAGTGATATTAACGAGAAATCATATTAAAGTTGATATATGACTGTCGCCAAAAGAAAACCCGACAATTTAAATATAGTCTATATTTAAGTTTCTTTTGGCGACACTCATATATGAGGGAATTTTGATACATAAAATTTCTAAAAATTTGATTTTGTGGCTTTGGTTGATATGTATTTAAAATTTTTTTTTTATAAATATCGATATTGGGGTCTTTGCCTTGAAAATCAAGTATGAGACATATGATTTACTATGTCCGTAACTCGATTTTCAAGGCAAAAACCCCATATATATAACAGACTTCAGACAAAATTAAACTTGCATATAATAGTTAAATAAATTGTTACGTATAGTACATAGTATATATCTTGATATGTATTAGACATGGCATCTATGCTGGTATTTACAGATTTATGTAGTACAAAGTCACGTTGCTGAAGATTTTTGTACTAGACTGATGTTTGTATACGTCAGACTATGATTTGTGATCAAATAACAATGATGGTGCTGTACCAAAATATCTCTATAGCTTTTCGCCCTTTTCTGGGTGTAGTTAGGACACTTTCAGAAAGTTCCGTCGTAAATCAGCATTCGTTAGTCAGCATTTAATATATTATTATTACCAGATACTGCGATTGATCAATTGTAATATGATGAATGATTTAATTCCGGTAGTTAACAAACTCCAAGATGTTTTTAACACTGTTGGTAGCGAAACAGTAGATCTGCCGCAAATTATCGTTGTTGGGTCTCAATCTTCTGGAAAGTCTTCTGTTCTTGAGAACATTGTCCAGCGAGATTTTTTACCTCGTGGTAGCGGAATTGTCACCCGTAGGCCGTTAGTGCTTCAGCTCGTTAATGTTCAAGATTCTGAAGATTCTAAGGCTGTAGAATATGGAGAGTTTTTGCACATGTCAGATCGAAAATTTACTGACTTCTCAGAGATAAGAAAGGAAATTGAAGCTGAAACAGCAAGGGTTGCAGGACAAAACAAGGGAATATCGAGGTCTCCAATTCATTTGAAAATATTTTCACCAAATGTACTTAATTTAACTTTGGTTGATCTTCCTGGTCTAACAAAGGTAATAGACTTTCTTTGTGAATAGTTGGTTAATTTTTAGGCTCAACCTTTCGTGTTTTGTTGAATTCGACGCGTTTAGATTCCAATTGGTAGGTACAATGATTGTTTACTTATCTTATGTTCTGTGTTTAGCATGCTCAATTAATTGTCTCTTCTTTAGGGGATCAGCCAACAGACATTGAGAAACAAACCAGAAGTTTAGTTCTTGATTACATAACAAAGCCGAATAGGTATGTTTTAACATTATTAATATACCGTAGAGTTCAATAAACCGCAATTTTAAATTTCGGTTTAAACTAAAAATATTCACGATCGAAATGAATAAAGTATTATTTTAGCTGTAAGCCCCGCGAATGTTGACTTAGTAAATTCTGAAAGTCTGAAACTAGCAAAACAAGTCGATCCGGAAGGTTAGCATATACCAAAAATTAAAAAGTAATGGAAAACGTTTATCATAATCATTATTTGATTTATGTAGGCAAAAGAACCATTGGTGTTCTAACTAAATTGGATCTTATGGATGCTGGTACAAATGCGCTAGATGTACTTACTGGTCGTGTTATACCTCTTAAGCTGGGCTTTATTGGGGTTGTAAATCGTAGTCAACAAGATATAATAGGTAATAAACCTATGACTGAAGCTTTGAAGGCTGAAAGCGAATTCTTCAAACGACACTCGGCATATCGAAGCATTGCTTCGAGATGTGGGACGCCTTTTTTAGCGAAGATCTTGAATCATGTAGGTATTTGGACGTTATTTCAAAATAAGATATTCAGTAAACGAATCGACATTTTTTCTCCGAATAAATAAAGCCAACACAATTTTGTTGGATCGCACGTGTCATGTAACTTACTTTGAATTAAGATTCTTATGAATCATATACGGGAAAGATTACCGGATATGAAAGCTAAGATTAATGCTCTCATCAGTCAAACTACGCAAGAACTCTTGTCTTACGGTGATCCCGCACTCGATGAAAAGACTAATAAAGTGAGTCATTTAACTTTTTTTTTGTTTTAGCAATAAATTTTTCCTATGATGCAATTTTTTTTCTTTGTATCTGATATGTTCTTCTTTTTACTCGTACAGGGAGCATTAGTATTGAAACTCATTACTAAATTCTCAAATGATTTTGTTTCATCGATTGATGGCACCGCATTAGATATATCGACAAAAGAATTGTAAGTGATAAAATTATTATATGAAAGGCTAGCTTTACATTACTTATTTCCGCGGTTGATGCTGAAATATGGGGTCTCGATTTAAAAACATAAGCCCACATATACTCTTTAAATACAGTTAGACCTCCCTAAATGCATATCTATGTAAAATCTCCCTAAATGCATGCCTTTTTTTCGGCCCAACTTAATATAACACTTATAGATTTTTACCTCTCTAAATGCATAACTTCTGCATGTTTTTAAAAATTTTTACTATTGTATCTAGCCCTAAAAAAAAACATCCCAAAAAAATTTTAAAATTTCATATAAAAATAGGTCCAAATTTCAGCATCAGCCGCGACAATTATTATACTAATTTTAGTAATATATCGTCCTCTTGAAATTCATAGATGTGGTGGCGCAAGAATATATTATATTTTCAATAATATATTTGGTACAGCATTGCAATCTATTAGCCCATGTGGCAATCTTTCGGTACAGGATATTCGAACTGCTATTCGAAATTCTACTGGTCCAAGACCATCTTTATTCGTGCCGGAAATTGCCTTTGATCTTTTGGTCAAGCCTCAGGTTCTTTTACTCGAACAGCCAAGCTTGAGGTGCGTTGAGCTTGTGCATGAAGAGTTGACGAAGATATGTCATAGCTGTGGAAGTCAGGTATTATTTAATATATTATTTTTATTTTATTTATATTAGACAAATAAATGTAATTGTATTCTATTAGGAACTTGGCCGTTACCCACGTTTACATGCCAAACTTATCGAAGTTGTTTCTGATTTGCTTCGTGAAAGACTCAATCCTACTGCGTCATACGTAGAAAGTTTAATCAGTATTCAACGTGCATATGTCAATACCAATCATCCAGATTTCATTGGAGGCGCAGGTGCGATGTCCGATCTCGTAAAGAAAAGTGAGAAGAAGAGGCGAGAATTTGAGAAACTTAATAGACGGGTGAGAAGAAGAGAAGCTATTTACCATTTTATCTGTACATTTTGCTAACGCTATATTCGAAACAGGCAAACATGGGAGGTAACACGACACACATTTCAACATTGAGTGGACCATCAATTTCAAGTAAAGATGACATCCCGGATGGATCACCACTTTCGGATAAAGAATCTAGTGGTTCTAAAGATATAGGCATACAGAATGGTATCAGCAGTAATTCATCGTGGGCACAACGAGAATCGTTTTTGACATACTTCTTTGGGACTGGTAATAAAAGTGACAGAACAGTGTTGCCAGACCAACCATTACCTAATAGAAATGGTACATCCATTAAGACCGGAATAGACATGGGTGAATTGGAAAAAAAATTAGATAATGTATGATACCATAAAATTCTTTTTCTAATAATTTTTTTTTTTTTTTCATGACGCAAAAGATGACACCCTTTTCATTTTAAAGGGTGCGATTATCGATGATGCTATTCATTTGACCGATCATGAAGAAATGGAGATACAGCTGATACGTACGTATACGTCATAATTTTTACTGTATATTGTGTTTGAGTATATTAATAACGATGTATAATATTTATAACGTTTTCATAAAGGATCCCTGATCACATCGTATTTCAATCTTGTACGCAAAACAATTCAAGACCTTGTACCGAAAGCTATTATGCATCTTTTGGTCAATTATTCTCGCGAGTCGGTCCAAAATCGATTGGTATCCGAATTATATAAAGAGGAACTATTTGTAGATTTATTGCAAGAAGATGAAAATTTGGCAAGCAAAAGACAAAATTGTAAAACCATGCTTGATGTTTATAGGAAGGCTTTCGATATTATGAATGAAGCTATGTAACTATATGTACGATATGATGTTAACATCTAAATGCCAAAATCTATATTGCAACATTTATTAGAATCAGCTACAAGTACTCGTTGTATTTCTATTATGAGTTAAATTCGTTAAATACATTATTTGTTAAGCAAGCTTTGTTAATAGAAAATAAATTATCTGTAACAGTCATAGGACAAGTCTACTTGGATGTCGTACTTATTGGTTAAATGAGTTGACTCATCTAAATTTTATATGTAAATTTTATGTAAAAAAAATCAATTAAATTCAATTTATTTAAAGATATAAAGTTTTTTAAATTTAGATTATATATTTAGTATTTAATAATTTTTTTAAAGAAATCGCAATTTTTAACTACAAATAGAATTAAAAATCTTAAAATTGATATGTCGTAAAATTTTGAAATATAGCTTACACTGAAGTCCCGGGCTGAGAAAAAAAAATTTCACTATGCTTATATCGAGAGAATACTGTACGTATGTATTTCGCTATATCAAGTTGGAGTTTAATAATTTCTATATCGAATCTTTACTATAATGAAAGTTGTGAATTGTAGTGGGCATGGGCGTTATTTTAAAATTGGCTCGCGTTAAGCTTAATTCAGGCCAAATTCGAAATATTGCCCATGCTATTTCGAGATTTTATGGTACTGTATTTTTTTGTCTTAAAAATTTAATTTATATAAAAATAATTTTGTGAAATAAAAAAAAACTTTTATTATAAAAATTTTAATTTTAATAGTAGTTAGATTATTAAAATTAGCTTGTAATTAAAGATGCAAATATTATAAAAATTTACAAATTTTAAATTTTAAATATTTTTGAAATCTTAATTTTTTTTTTTTAAGCGATCCTGCTTTTATTCATGTGAACTGTTATATAATTTTTACACCCAAGTGTACAAAATTCCTACAACTTATTGTTCTAACCTAATAAAGACTCACCAAGCATAAATGCCCAATGTGACCTGCTATAACAACTGTTTGTCGACTCAGAGATCATAAACTAACTCATGATTTTGTATTTCAAAGGGTACCCCCCTCGATTATGGACTGGCCATTGTATACTTCATCAGGATCACCAACCTTTTTTTCAACTTTTTTCACCAAAATCCAAGCAGAATAACTATCTATAAGCAAGAACATATATACCACATTTATGAAAAACCAAAAACATTTAGAAAAATGAAAGGAAAATCAGAACCAAAAATTACAAAAAGAAACTATTCTAAATATAATTCCATTATAAATAGACTAGCAAAAAAAGTAAAAAAGAAAAGTTGGCAATCTCGACGAGAAAAAAGAAAAATGTATTGTTATAACCTGTGCCAGGCAAGTATAAAAATTATATTCTTATAGCAACATTGTATATCTCTATTGTAAGGCTTCATCTATACTATTAATTCCTCTTCGACCCTACTATCCCTGGAAGTCTTCACCTGGGTTCTTCTAATTAGGTTTGTCATCATCCCACACCAACTCTTCAGTCTCTTGCGGCCCCGAGCCAAAACTGGTAGCACCATGTCTGCTTATGCCAAACACGTGATTGCCATCTACCATGTCAACCAGATATGGGAATGTAAACACTGTGTAATCTATGCTGATCGTTTGGAGGAGGTAAGCCAAATCCCCACTTTTTGTCGAAATTTTTGGGAGATTAGCAGCAATGGGAGAGAGTGTAATAAAGGAGACCACTTGTATAGGATAAAAGAGTGCAGCTTGAAACCAAAAAGTTTCAAAGTTTACTGTACCCCTGGGTTCTTGAGAAGTCTTAAAGGCTTCACTAACAGAATTTCTTCTACCAAAATTTATACATAATAGCGAGTACTATCTGCCTTTTTCTTCTTTGCGTCTTTGCTTCTGGCTTGCATGTTAAATATAGAAGGGAGTCCCGAGGCAGTTGTTGACTTCTCTAAAAACAACCAAGACCTCTCTCAAACTATAGTCTACAAAACTTCGTCAACGGTAATGATAAATATTACCAGAATTATAATTCACTTCATGTAGAGTGCCACCTATATGCGAAAACATATTGCTTCATCCTTTACAAATCTGGTTTTCAGCTTCTGGCTTGCATGCCAAACATAGCAAGGAGCCCACTATGACCTCGCTACAAACTGTCTTGTAGCTACACGACTCTCCAGTAAACTTTTTTTACTTTTCTTTTCTGTAAGAAGAGTGGTCCAAGTGATTGTCAGGAAGAGTTTTTTTATCTCTTGAAATCTTAATTAAAAATTATTTTTTTTATTTTTTTATTATATTTTTTATTTTATTATTTTATTTTATTTTTTTATTTTTATTTTTTATTTTTTATTTTATTTTTTTATTTTCTTATTTTTATTTTGTAAATATTAAATATACTGTATATAGAAGTAAATAGTATATTTTGGTTTATATATCATGATAATAAATAAATACAAATTTAATATTTTCTAAACTAATTATCTAAAATTTATGCAATAAAGTAAACTATCACTTGTAGTCAGAACATAACTACAGTATTACAAATATTTTACTACTTATTTTTTTATTTAATAATTTAGATTAAGTATATACAGTATATAAATAATTTTAGATTTAGATAGCTAGAGAATATTAGTATTATAAGTAAGAAAGAAAAAATATATATATAAAAAAAATTATAAATGGTGACTCCCATATGATCAACCAATCATTTTTTAGATTGGTGATCATATAAATGAGCTGCCATTATTAGAAATAAGGCAGGTTGATATTTTAAAAAAAATCAATATCTTAACTTTTACAGCTCATATCTTGATAAACTTTGAAGCTATTTTGATAATTTAGTATTCAAAAGAAAGCTTAGATTGTAAGCATTTATTTGACTATTAAATTATCAAGATAGCTTCAAAATCCATCAATATATAAGCTGTGAAAGTTAAGGTATTGATTTTTTTTAAAATATCAATCTGCCTTATTTCTATTGATAGCAGCCCAAATGATCTGTTTTTATTTATTTTTTTATTTTTATTTATTTTTAAATTTTTTTTAACATGAATATTTTTTTTCTTAGTTGTTTAGAATCTTCACTCAAGTGTGCTAGAGTCATCACTAAAGTCATAGCTAGAGCCATTGTTGAAGTCTCAAAACAGTTGTTATTTGGTACACTCTTCTGGTAAGTTTGTTGTTTTTTAAAGTTAATTCAGTAGGTTTATCATTTTTTATAGATTTTTAAATAGGTTCTTTATAGTGAGTTGTTTTTCGATAGTTTTTTTCTAGAAGTTTGTAATCTTTTGGTGGGTTCTTGCCAATTTTCAATAGTTCTTCTAGTAAGTTCTTTAGTAGCTCTTTGTCGTTTTCGATAGGTTCTTCGGTGGTTCTTTATTATTTTTTGATAGGTAATTTTGTTGTTTTGTAATAGATTTATTTTTTTGTCTCTTTGTCAATTTTCAATAGGTTCTTTGGTAAGTCTTTGGTAGTTCTTTGTCAGTTTTAGTAGGTTCTTCTGATAAGTTCTTTGGTAGTTCTTTGTCATTTTTCGGTGAGTTTATTCAGTAGGTTCTTTGTTTCTTCATTAATTTTCAGTAGATTCTCCCAGTAAGTACTTTGGTGGTTTTTCATTATTTTTTAGTAGATAATTTGCTATTTTGTGGTTGATTTGTTCTTTGTCTTTTCATCAATTTTCAGTGGTTTTTCTTATTATTTTTCAGTATCTTTTTCATTATACTTTAGTGAGTTTTTCAGTAAATTTAGTAAATTCTTTATTGTTTTTAAGGATTTTTCCAGTAAATTCATTAGTTTTTTTATTGGTTTTTTCTGTAGATTTCTTTATTTTTTAGTTTATTTATCACCATTTTCATCCTGTTTTTGTTCTGTTTTTCATTTTGTTTTTGTTTTTTTTTGTTTATTTTTCTTCCTATTTTTGTTCTGGTTTTGTTTTGTTTTCTTCATATGCATTTGATTAAAAAAAAATTAAATTAAATTAATTAAATTAATAAAAAAAAACTTAAAAAAAAATAAAATAATAAAAGATATAATTGACTTTGATTAGTTAATCACAGAGTTTTATGGCAATAGATCGTCATAAAATAATATATATATATATATATATATATATATTAATAAAATTGTAATAATAATAAAAATAGAGAAGAACTCTTTTTGACAATCACTTGTACCAAAATTTCCTACTGAACAGAAGCAAAAATTTTGTTAAAGAAGGAGAAGGCACTATGCGGTAGTTTTTGTAAAAATTAACCTTTCTTTTTAGAGGACTCCTTTGCATATTTGGCATGTAAACTAAAAGCGTTAGGACCAAAATAATAGGCTAATAAATGCTCTTGTATACAAAATTTTGGGAATAGTGGTGCTCTGACAAAAGTGAGGCCATATCATCGACGAAGTCAAGTATAGATAACATAATAAAAGAAGAACAAATGAGCTTCTTAAATCACTTCTTGAAAAACTTGAAAGTACTTGCAACCATATACTCTCTACTATATTTCTGCTATTTTGGAGTTTTTTTTAGAAATTTCAGCCAAAAAGTAGAAAACTGGTGTACTCCCTTCAAAAGATTAGCAGTGTTTACTCTTTTCAAATTAGGACACGTCTACTGAAATAGGACCTGCTACAAGCTAACTTGAGTACTACTTCTCAATTAAGCAATGACGGACTATAAGAAATTGAAGGATCACATGTAAAAACTTCTAGATATTAAACAATTTTTTTTCTTTTTTTTTCTTTTTATTATATATAGTGTTAAAGTAGAATTTTTCTTTCTATACAATCTATATAATTTATATAGCCTGGCACAGGCAAAAATAGTATTATTATAGCTGTCTTCTTTGCAGCCTTTTTTTTCTTTTTTTCTTTTTCTTTGGTGTATTATAATTTTTTTGTTTAGTTTAGATTTTCCTTTTTTTTTTTAATTTTATAAATTTCTCATTGTTCTTGCAGTAGAGTTCTTCTACCTAGGAGGCTAGGAGAAAAAGAAGATTGGAAAAAAAGGCAGTTATAACAGGCTAGTAAACCAGGACAGTGATTC